TATTCTGGCTCCTGAATATGGCTGTGACATGAAACATGGCAATAAAGCCTATAAAGCTTGCCGCCCTCTCCTGTCTCCCTCACTTTTCTATTGCCACTTTCAAATTATTATTCAGCTCCTATTCAGATTATTTACACTGCCTTATGAAGCATAGATAGTTGACAGAGCAATGTCCATCTGTAAAAAACACAAGGATTTTCCAACTTGTTTTAATAAATAAAATAAGTCTCAAAAAACTTCTAAACAGCGTGAAAGTCACATAATACAGGACCCTCGTACTGAGCCGCCCAGATCATAACACCATAGTCCGCAGTTTGAGCTCCATAGCTTTCTTCAGGAGTTTATCAGTTTCTCTTTTTGTAGTCTCTCAGCTTCATGAATTGTTGTCTGTTCAAATTTCACCCTAGAAGGATGGCCATTTTGGTGCCAAGCCCCTTTCACGTCACTACCACTCCCGTGGTTTTCAGCGCAGCCATTTTTACTAATCCTAGTGGTTCCATTCAACTCCTCATCTGCATATGTTAGTGATTTCCCACTGGCGGTGCGTGTCTGAGGAGGTTGCAACCGACCAAACAAGTGTTGCCGTAAGATCTTGCGAAAGGTAAGGCGGAACTCACGTATACGGTAGGCATAGATGAGAGGATTCACCACGGAATTAGCATGGGAAAACAGGATGGCAAAGTACATGAGTAAAACCGGAGGGCGGTTACAGGCCTCGCAGAAGAGAGTGAAGCAGTTGATGATATGCAGGGGTAGCCAGCAAATGGCAAACAAGCCCACAATAATGGCTAAAGACTTGGCAGCATGGACTTCACGCTGCAGAGTCGATCTTGAGCGCTCCCCACAAGTTACTTTAAGCTCTATCTGCTTCAGCTGCCGTCGTGCTGCCATGAAGATGTGCAAATAAATGCCAAGCATGAGCAAGAGAGGCACCAAGACACAGGCAAAGAAATTGTAATACACCATATAATCCATGGTCACAACATTCTCAAATAGGCACTCTACCATAGGAGCACTACATGATGAGTTTTGAGGTGTGGAGAGGTCCTTCTTGTGCCAGCCCAACATGGGGGTAAGGCCAATGATAAAAGACAACAGCCAGCAGACTCCAATAGTCACATTAGCTCTTCGACTGGTCACAAGGCTGTTGTACCTGAAAAGAGAAAACAAAGAATGAGGTGTCTTGATTAAAAACCATGTCCAACTGCCTGATGGAGAGAACTTTTAAACACTACACAGCATGATTTCCCATTGGTGACCACAGAAGACTTGTAGAGCTGCAGTCCAGGGTTCAGTCCTCACAAGAGACACTATCTGCATGGGTTATAAGCGTGTTCCCCATGTTTATAAGGATTATTGGATAGGATTCCCTCCAGTAGGTGCTGGATCTAAACCCAAAGACAAAATGTCAATATGTTGCAGCTTACCAGTCCTTAGATGTGGTGACTGCATTTATTTTTTTACAGACCCTTTTCCCTTTATTTTCACCTAGTAACCCTGTAAATAACCCTCTTCCTGTCCCAAGGTGGCTACGCTCATTAACCAGCTCTGTAGTATCTGACGCGCAATGAGAACTTTCAAACACTAGACAGCATGGTTTCTTAATGGTGACCACAACCATAATGTCCTTACAAGGGGCACTATTTGCACTGGGTATATGTGTGTCCTCCATGTTTGTAAGGGTTGTTCAACTGCCTGGTGGAGAGGATTCCCTGCAATAGGCACTGCCCTGATCTAAACCCAAAGACAAAAGTTTGATATATTGCAGCTCATATTTTAGCTCCCCCAGTCACTTTGTATTTATACACAAGCTACTTTAATTGAAGTTCTCCTCTTTGGTGATTATTTTTTACATATAGTATCATTGTTTCGTTTCGAACCTTAAGAGTGCATTCCCACGAAAATGTGTGTATTGGAAGTGAACATGTGTTACTTTATGTTGCCTTTTTTGGGGGGGGGGGGGTTTAATTTTTTCACTAAGCTATATAAGGTATCGGTTCTGCGATGTTCATTGCACTGATACGTTAAACACGTGTTGCGCTGCCAAAAAAGTAGAGGCTCTATTTTTTTTCAGCACAGGGCAGCGGACATCAATGCAATGCACAGGTATGAATTGCTCCCAATGACACCCCTTTATTTTCAGATGCCCTTGCGTTGGCATTCGTTAAAAAAACGATGCCAACACATCTGGTGTGAGCGGGCTCTAACAACATCCTGCAGCTTACCAGACCTTAGGTGTGGTGTGTACATTAGTTTTCCTTCCTTTAAGTCTTTTTTCCTTTATTTTCACCTGCTAATAATGCAAATGACACATTTCCTGTACCTGTGTGGCTACATTCATTAACCTTACTTTATGTATGGAAAGAGCTTGTCACCTTTGTTCATCTCTATTACATAGAGGTTAAAGTGACATTAAACCCTCAGATGATTTTTTAACATAAAACAATACTGTAATGTGTGCCTTACTGTAATCCATGGTAGTTTCCCTTCTCTTTGCTGCTCATCCTTTTAAATCCGTATCTCTTCTCATGCTTGGGGAGAACTTCTGTTTTGCCGCAGACTGCCTTGTCTCTGGAATGGATACATGGTGTCTGTGTGTAGGTTCACAACCTGAGCCAGCACTACAGGAAGAGGCACTCAGCTGCAAAGGGAAGTTCTCCCCAAGCATGATAAGAGAGAAGGATTTAAAAGGAAGAGCAGCAAAGAGAAGGGAAACAACCATGGATTACAGTAAGGCACACATTACAGTATTGGTTTATGTTAAAAAATCTGAGGGTTTAATGTCACTTTAAGGGGATTAGTAGAGAACATTGTTCTTGCTGTCACTTCAGTTCACAGGAACACTGGCAAGGTAACATGTATTTTCTGTACTTGCTGAAAACATTCTTAGGCTGGTCATACCCTTCGATCAGAAAATGGAGCCTGTCGGAAAAATTTCAGGCACACGGTGATTGCAACTAATTGGCTGCCATCACTGTTCAGGTATTCAGACAGCGGCACACACGCTGTCAGAATACAAAGCACACAGCAGGAGATTCGTCCAATCAAGCTGCTTAGTGTGGATGGAGGAATCTGTTATATATTTTTTTTTCATTTAGTCAGCAGGTTGAAAGAAAACAATCTAACAGTGTCTGGCCAGCTTTAGCCTGAAAAATGAAAAGGAATGCAGACACCACATATAAAGACTGATAAGCTGCAAGATGTTAAGGTTTGAAACTTGACAACTCTAATATATTTAATGAAATGATGACAAATGAGGTCAAATTCAATGAAAGTAGCTTGTGTATAAATAAAAAGTGACTGGGGGAGCCCAAATATAAACTCAGAAAAAATGAGAATTATGGAAGTTAGGTCAAGGGAGAGACAACCTGGGAATTTTGTCTATGTTCTGGAGAAATGGCAAGGTCTTCCTGTGCGTGGGATAACAGCTGGAAGACTTCTCTATCCAAGCTGAGGTGACAGTGACTAAGTCTGAGAGAATAGCAAGAACATGGAGACTATAGCATCTGGCATGCAGTCACCAGGGACCAGCATAAATTACAGAGATGATTTCAGCTATGTAGTATCTGACATGCAATGAGAATTTTTAAACACTAGACAGCATGGTTTCTCAATGGTTACCATAGTAGACTTGTAGTGCTGAAGTCCAAGGTTTAGTCTTCACAAGGGACACTAGCTACATGGGGTACAATTGTGTCCCCCATGTCAACCGAAGAATATATTAGTAGGTAGACTAGCTTCTGGCATTAGTGTGTAGTCTATATTAGTCCATATAATGTGTTAGGACATTATAAGGTCCCTTGAAGCAGCGACTGATGTGCTTAGCTCTGCTTTACTGCTCTGCTTTACTCTACTTTAAAATCACTCAGCCATGTGCTTAATATGTAGTCTTTCTACTTTAAGGCGTTTTGTAGTGCGTTCGAACTCTCTGCAAAACGCTCAAACACCGAAATCCCATTATTTCCTATGGGTATGGTTCACACCTGGGCGTATTACAGGCCATATGAACACGCTACAAAACGTCCTACGCCCAAAGAAGTACAGGAGCTTCTTCGGGGCGTTTTTGTCACGCGTTTCCATTGGGAAACGGGGCAAGTAGCCCTCGGAAACCCAGGCAAAAAACAATGGAGTTCCTCCTTCATATCAGAGTCCTTGCTTTAAATTAGGAGCCCCCCTTCACATCACAGCCCCTCATTCATATCAGAGTCACCCCCCTTTACATTAGGAGACCCCTACTTTCACATCAGAATATTCCCCTCTCACACATCGAAATCCCCAGTTCATATTAGAGCCCCGCCCTTTCACATTAGAGTCACCCTTTAAATTAGGAGCCCCCTCCTTTCACATCAGAGTCCTCCCTTTCACATTAGAGTCCCCTTTTAAATTATGAGCCCCCTCCTTTCACATCAGAGTCCCCCCTTTCACATTAGAGTCCCCTTTTAAATTAGGAGCCCCCTCCTTTCACATAAGGGCCTCCTTTACATTAGATCCCCCCGTGCTTTCTCATCATAGTCCCCTCTTTACATCAGAGCCCCCATTCATATCAGAGTCACCCCTCTTCACATCAGAGTCCCCCTTTAAATTAGGAGCCTCCCTTCACATCAGAGTCCCTCTTTACATTGGGAGCCCCCTGCTTTCACATCTGAATCCTCCCCTCTCATATATCGGAATACCCCATTCATAGCAGAGCCAACCCTTTCACATTAGAGTCACATTTTAAATTAGGAGCCCCCTCCTTTCACATCAAGGCCCCATTTCATATCAGAGCCCCCATTTTCCCATCAGAGTTATCCCTTCACATCATGAGCTTGCACCATGGAAACACATGACCTTGTGCGCACATTTCGAGGCACCCCTGAGGAAGCCAGAAGGCACCCCACAGTGCCACGACACCCTGGTTGAGAAAGGCTGGTTAGGGACATGAAGGATGAATGCCTGGAGCTTTTTTTAAAGTTTTTGAAACATTCATTTAATTTTTCAATAATTAATAGGGTCAAAAAATAACAAAAACGAAGGGGCAGGATGGAAAATGTTTCTCAAGGGAATGAAATTGTAACAGCGAATGTAGTTATTCTTCAGGAAACGCCATTCATTCCAAAATCAAATATTAGAATCAAATGACATTTGGAACAACACTCTTCAAGTCTCTGATGGCATTTTTGAATGTTCTGGTGAGATTGTTCATATGAACGTTTGTATGAAATTCTAACCAAGTATACCCAGTTCAAAGCATAAAGCTGGTTGTTTTTTCAGATCGGAATAAACAAGAAAAAAACGCTCAATTTCCCCACCCATACTAAACACCATGCATGGGGAATCTCCCCCACTGGGCTATTGTATTCTAATACTTGAACAGTGACTGCAGCTGATTGCCTACAGTCACTGTCCAGCTGACAACTTTCGGGGCAACTCCATCAACAAAAGTTGATTAAGGGCCGTCACACCATCAAGGGTGCGTTCCTGGGCGTTTGGCCTCTGGAACCAACCCGGCCGTCTCCCTTTGTTTTGGGGCAGGAGGGGGCATGGCGGTGCATTGAACTCAATGGCACCGCAGCCACGCCCCCACCCGTGGTGTGATCGCCGGCACCCGAACACGTGGCACATTAGTGCCTGCGTTGCGGTCCAGTGCGATCTGCAAAAAAATGCTGCATGCACTATTTTTTGCAGATCGCACTGGACCGGAATGCAGGCACTAATGTGTCACGTGTTCGGGTGTGGCTGCGGTGCCATTGAGTTCAATGCACCGCCATGCTCCCTCCCGCCCTAAAACAAAGTGAGCCGGCCGGGTTGCGTTCCACTGTGTTCCAGAGGCCAAACACACTGGAACGCACTCTTAATGGTTTGACGGGGGCCCTAAGGTCTAGTTGACACCACAAACAAATCGTTCCGGCCAGCACTGGATCGCATCCTGGCTGGCTCCCTGCATTCAGGGGTGGGAGAGCAATGGCAGCGCAGCCCTTGACCGCAGTGCGATCGCCATCACCCGAACACGTGGCACATCAATGCCTGCGTTCCGGTGCGGTCAGAAAAAAATTGTGCATGCAGCATTTTTTCTGACCGCACCACCACGACAGCTCGAATTCTGGCCCAGTAAACAGGAACCGATGTAAATGCAAGCAATATAAGGCCTTCTTTAATGCTGAAAGGTATGAA